GGAACTCGGGTTGCCCCGGCCTCCTCTCAGCTCTCGGGACCCCCCACCGCTCCCTGGCCGGGCCTTCTCCCCAGGCCCACTCCTCACCCCTCCCTCATCCCCCAATTTTCCCACCTTCTCTTGCCCTCGATTCTTGGCTCAGATGCCACCTCCTCAAAGTCCTTCCCTAAAAAATGTACCCAAATCACCTCCTCCTTCTCACCTCTATCACCTGCCATGGTGACACCGTGTCCATTTCCTTCAAAGGATTGTGAAAGCTGCTCATACAACCTGGGTCGTTCTTGTCACAGCCAACTAAATGGGAGTGCAGGAACCATGGAGGAAAGCACTCAGGGCACATCACATTGCTCCAAGAATGTGGTTCTCTGCAGGCCTGGCTGCTGACACTGCCTGTTGTAACCTGAGAGCAGTTTTACCTACTGGCTACCGGAATAACCTGCTGGGACTCCAAGACTAACTTTACCCACCGTTGTCAACCTGCTGCGACTCCAAGACTAACTTTACCCACCATTGTCACTCACCCATTCGCTCTTGCTGGCTCCCCAGAGCTTTACTATTGCCCAGGAGCTTTCTTCCAGAACAATACGTAGCATTTCTCCTTTTTATAAAACTTCCAACTGGCCAGGTGAGGTGGCTCACTTCTGTAGCTCCAGCACCTTGGGAGGCCAAGGTGGGAATATCACTTGAGCCCAGGAGTTTGAGACCAGCCTGGCAACATTTTTCTCTACAAAAAATTTTTTAAAAAATTAGCCTGGCATGGTGGTGGTGGCACATGTCTGTGGTCCCAGCTACTCAGGAGGCTGAGGCGGGAGGATGGCTTGAGCCCAGGAATTCCAGATTACACCCCAGTCTGGGTGAGAGTAAGACCCTGTCTCTAAAAAAAGTTAAAAAAAAACCCTCCAGCCTTCTCTTTGTTCTTCAGTTTTACCAAAGACCACCCAGTCTGTGTGTATGCCCCAAACTGTGACTTTTGTTTCTCAGTTAAAACATTTTAAATTTAGAGATTCATCTCTATATTTTATTTGACTTTAATAGCATTTACTGCAATTTGCAGTTATGTTTCTCATTTATTGCCCACTTTCCCCACTAGACTGTGTCCTCCCCTGAGCCATCTAATAGATTGTTACAGAATGTTTGTATGCCCCCAAAAATCCATACATGGAAACCCTAACCCCCAGTGTGGCTATATTTGGAGAAGGGGCCTCTAGGGAAGTAATTAAGGTTAAATGAATGAGGTCATAAGGATGAGGCCCTGATCCGATAGGATTAGCGTCCTTGTAAGAAGAGACACCAGAGAGTCCCCCCACCAGAACCCCGTGTGCACGCACTGGGGGAAGACCACATAAGGACATAGAGAGGCTGTATCTGCAGCCGGCTACAGCCAGAAACCAGCTCTGCTAGATCTTAACCTGGGACATCGTCCATCCTCTAGAACTGTGAGAAAATAAATATCAGTTGTCCCCGCCACTCAGCCTGTGGCATTTTGTTGTGCAAATGTACCCACAGGGACTTGTTTTGTTTGCTCACCAACTTCATCCCACTTCCTGCCATAGCACTCACCACATGGCGGGGACTTGGCGAACATCCGGTGAACGAGCGAGTGAATCTTCCCATTTGTACTGCATTGCCGGGCACCTAGGAAGTGGTGACAGCTGTCCACTCATCGTGTTCTTTCCCTCTCTGGGACTCAGTCCCCCGATCGGTGAGGTAGTACAACTCAACAAGATGGCTTCCAAGTCCCCTGTAGTGACAAAATGATATGACAAAGACGGCTTCCTTCTGCAGGGCACTGACCGTGACCCAGGCACTGCACTTGTTCGTTTCTCATTTAATCCTCACTCCGGCCTACAGACACCCTCATCAGCATTTACAGCCGAGGGTCACCAAGGCAGAGAACAGCGTCACCAGAAAGGGAGGAGTGAGGTTACCATTACAAGCATTGTCCTTTATCCTGAGATTGTGTCCTTCCAGCTTCTAGGGGTTGAAATATTCTCTCTTTTGAGAAATGATGTTGATATTTTAAAGGTCCTTATAGAAAGGAAGGAGAATTTGGCTATCTATGCCAGTCCTTAAAATTTATTTGGAAATTTCATTGGTGCACGAAGTCCCAGTCTTGAGTGTCATAAACTATGCACGTGGAAGGCTTTTAAAATATTTTAGAGTATCTTCGATGCACTAGTCAGGTGCAAGAGCACAGAACAACTAAGCTACAGCTGCAGAGGTGCATTCCAAGAGGCCTGAGTTGAAATCAGAGCTCTGCCTCTAGTATTAACTGAATCACCTTAGGCATGGGAAGTAAACCCCTCTGAGCCTCAGTTTCCTCATCTATAAAATGGGAGTAGTAATAGTGACTACCTCATGTAACACACTTAGTCTAGAGCTTGGCACACAGGAAAGACTTGATACACGTGAGCTTGACTTGATACACGTAACAAATATGTGATACACGCATTTATTATTTAGGTATGCAGGGTGGTCACGGTCATTAGCCATGGTCTCTGAGGAAGTGCCTGGGGGTACAAAGATGGGGTGGTGAAATCCCATTGGGTAGGGGTTTCGTTTTTGTCTCTGGAGTCCCCAACTTCTAGCCCAAAGGGGTACTAACAGTTCATTGCCACCAGACTGTATGACCTCGGGCAAATCATTTCCCAGCCTTCTGCCTTGGTTCTCTAATCTATTAAAAAGGAAGCGATTACTCCCACTCCATAGAACATCGGAACTCAAACTTTGGCCAGTATCAGAATCACCTGAGGAACTTGGGAAAAATAGGTCCAAAGGTCCAGGTCTATGCTACTTCAACAAGCCCGAGCCTCCGTGTTTACTATCTCTCCAGACGATTTGACACATACCACGGTTCGAAAGTGCCATGAAAGAATGAAAGGAACAAGCCTCTCTGTTTGCTCTAACAGATCATAAGAGATGATTATCGTTATGTAAATCCCATTTATTTCACCCTTTATGGAGAAGTCAAGGCTGTCCTCACACAGGTTGCACGTGCTCCCTCCACCAAGGGAAGCTGGGCCAGAAGACATCCCCCCCAAGCCACTGGGGTCTTCACACCTTTGGAAATCATCTGCAATGTGGTACCCATTTCACAAAGGGGAAAATGAGGCTTGAAGGGGAGCAACACCTTTCCCCAGGGTGCAACAGCTTCGGTTAGAGCCACGGTGGAACCCAGGGCTCCAGATGCCTGGGCCACCAGCGTTCAAGGGGCCTATCTTGGAGGAGTCCAATGGAAGATGCCCTCTTGCCTGGTGACAGGTGGTGCAACAAGTTGGGGGTCTACAGCCCCACCCCACCCCATTCTGTAAATGTCATTTTCGCTGACAAGCCTGGAAAGGGCCCCTGGCCAAACACTGATAATCCGACAGCCCCTTTCGGAAAGGTTTGAAGATTAACTCAAGGTTCTGGAGAGAAAGGCAAAAACGAGCTCACATCCAAATATCTCAAGCTCCTGGGCAATCTTATTTACTGATCTTGCTGCCTGATCAGGAACAGAGCCCTATAGATGACAGGAGATCTAAGATTAGAAATTAGGGCTGTAGAATCTCTGTGCTGCAAGGTCACATGATGCAGCCTGCTACTCCTGCCTGCAGACCAGAAAGACTGCCACGTAGTGCTGCCACACAAGGAGAGAGAGGACATTTCCCTGTTTCAGTGGACTCAGGGCAAGGAACTTGAAGGGTGTGGCAGGCATTCAAACCAAGGGGGCGGTGTAGGGGTCACAGCAGCGGGCTGCACATGCGGAAAGACCTGGCTGCAGGTAGGTTGGGATCTGCTGGTTCTAGCTGTGACCGTCAGCAAGTTATTCTTCACCTCTCTGAGCCTCTATTTCCACGTCTGTAAAAATAAAATAACGAAGCTACCCAGAGAAGTAGCCAGGCTTTGGGGAGCCTGAGGCTCAGACCACTGGGGGGAGGGTAGCGGTGAGGGGTGGGGAAGGTCTCTTTTAGGAAGAAAAAATACTAAATTACACATTCAAAATTGCATACAGGACCTTGGAAAGAGCCCCATGTAAGGAGGGGCCTGACAAATCCATCTCGGATGCCACCAGTGGGATTATTTAAGCAAAGCTTTTGTTGCCACCTAGTAAGCCCTCAAGAAATGTTAGTTTGGAGATGGGATGATGGCGGGGAGAGTGGTAGGGCTTGAGTAAAAGGCTGTAATTTTGAGGGAGTTCATCTGCACTGAAGAGAGATAATGACAGAGAGCGGGACACTAGAGAAACGCCCAAGACGTCCTTAGCTGCACAGTGCAAGCCTGGGTGTCATATGGGACCTTAGACAAATCTCTCCCGGTGCCAGTGTCCTTCCCAGGACAATGAGGCTGGGAGTTGTACAGTCTCTGCCTCTTCCTCGGTTCCAAAAGAACACCCCCTATTCATGCCACGGAGCCTTTAGCTAAGACGCACTTAGAGATAAGTAAGTGATTGTTCCTTTTTTTCCCACTTAAGAAAGGGGGACTTCCAGAAGGGACGCCTTGCAGCAGTTGGCAGAGCCAGAGAGCTGTGGAAACCCGACCCTCACACAGGGAGACAGAAGGCACGGTGCGTAGCTATTTTCTCGGAGGCAGAAATGGAGTATTAGTTAAAAACCCTGACGAGGGGGCCTCTGGGCCCAGCACTGCAACTTTCTAGCTATGTGACCCCAGGCAGATTCCTTTACTTCCAGAAGACTCAATTTCCTCTTTATTTAATTTATAGGATTAAATGAGAAAATTCAGATAAAACACTTACAGGAGTGCTTGTCCCTTCGTAAAGTGCTTAATAAATATTTGTTATTAAAATTAATCAGTGTTGTAGTTGCTGTCGCTATTACTGTTATTAAAAAATACAGTAAGGGTGGGTGACTGGGTGACTCCTTTCCCAAATCCCTCCCTTCCCCCTGCTCCTCCCAGGAGTCCTCTTCCACTGGCTTCTTCTGGCAGGAGGAGGCGCCCTCCAGGGAGGTGGGCGGGGCCTCGGCCAGCTTGGCCAGGGCCAATTAAGGCCCGAGCCTCGGAGCTGGGGTGCACACCTGCACGAGGTACCCTCCCGCTTGCCTCCTTCCACAGCAGACCTCCTCGTCACCCTGTGCTCTCCCCTTCTAAAGCAGTCATGTCTGTGCCGAAGAGTGCTGGGGCTCCCCAGGGAGCCGTTACCCTCAAATTGGACAGCATGTCGACTCCCGAAAGTGCCAGGAAGCTGCAGAACAAGGACTCTAGATTCTTGGACGGGAGCCCTTCAGAGTCGCCGGACTTGGAGAAGACCAAGGGCATAACGTGAGTGCTGTTTTCCGCCATCCCCATTTCTGCCCTCCAGCTTGCAGCTTGCACTGGCTAAAACATCCTGAGGTGGGTGTGTCTGACTGGCAACCCATTGTGCTGATGCGGAAACTAAGGTGCAGTCGGAGGCTGAGTCAAAGATGAGGGCTTAAAGGTGCAGGAATGGAGACTGTCAGAAAAGCCCTTTGGGACATAGTGATCCAGTCCCCAACAAATGTGCAGAGGGGAAACTGAGGCCCAATTGCTCCAGGCCACATGCATAGGGGCTAGGATCAATGCTGGTCCTAAAGTCACTTTTATGTTCCTGGCCAGTCCTGTTAATGTTGGAGAAAGAGGCAGAATCCTTGACTTCTTGGAGGAGAAGGTGAGTCCTGAGCTTAAAACCAGAGCAGCCTCCCTGACAACCAAGCATCGCCTCTTCCTTGCCCCTTTCCTGCAGTAAGCCCGGCCTTTATCTCAATTGAGAATTGCAGTGATGACACCAAAAAGTACAGCATGTGGAAGGTTCTAGTGTTCTCTATTTTCCAGAGGGGGGGTGGGGAGGGGTCATTCACAAGGCTTTCAAAACATGGCAAAGAGGGAAGCCACGCTACAGGGCTCCAGTTCCCCTCACCCAAACCCGACCCCACCACTCAGCTGGACTAGCTAGTTCATTTAGGAAGAAAGTAGGGGGGCATGGCGGTGAAGAGGTTCTGCCACTTTAAGAAGACAGGTTTTGCACATTGGCGTAGCGGAAAGAGCACTGGACAGAGAATCACAAGACCTGAGTTCGAGTTGTGACTCCGCTCCTTCTCTTCTCTGAGTCTCAGTTTCCTGATACACAAAATGTGGCTAAATAGGTGGCTGAGCGAATTTAAAGAGGATGCTCGTGGAAATGAGATCTGAAGGTGTGTGTTTGGGGGTGTGCAGCCGGGGAGGGGGGCGGGGGGACTGTCAGAGGCAGGCAAAGCTCCTCTCCTCAGCCATCCTGCAGGACACTTGAGGGACAGACACAGTGAGTGGCACTGCGGCCTGGAACAGTTGCCCCAGGACTAGTCCTGAGGGTCACTAAGTATTAGTGATCCTGAGGGTGAGATGAGAGGGTGAGCCGTCTAGGCCTTGGGGCCATCCACTGCTGAGCAGAGGCATTGCTCAATCAGAGACCTTGAGGAAACCCACTAACTCTTGTGTTCTGAACTGATGCAAGGTTTGGTGGCGATTGCAGCTACTTAAGAATGGAAGGAATAAAGCGAGTAGGAGCTGGAGGGGACCCGTGGCTTGGAGAGAAGCCACATAACAGGCTGGGTAAACCTGGTACCTACAGGGTCAGCTCACCTGGGTTCAAATTCCCACTTAGCTGCTTACCAGCTTGGGCAAGGGACCCAACTTCTCTGTGCCCAGTTTCTCCTCTGTGAAATGATAGTTTACTCCTCCCAGGCGATCTGAGCATAAAGCCCCCAGACACGGTGCTTGTAAGCCCCGGCTGCTGTGGACATGATGCCAGTCCAAGGTCACAAAGGAGTTAGGGCTGGAGCCCAATCGCCTGACTCCCGGTCCAGCACTTTGCATGACTTACCACACCATGTTTTTAAGTTGGCTGAGCGGCCCAAAGTTAAAATTCCAATTTCCTAAGTCCTTTAGTTAGAAATTTCCAAAATGACCCATTGACCCTTTCCTAGTTGCAAAACAAGCCCATCACTGGCGGAGTAGGGTGTAGTGCTCTGTCAGCAATGTTGACGCCCACAGGGAGAAAGGCATGCGAGACTCTCCGCCCCCTTTCTCCCGCGATTGTTCTCTTTAACCCTTAGCAAATCTGGGCACAGAACCTCAGGAGGCAAGAGGGTTGAGGGCTTTCTCATAGAGATATGGGTGTTTGGGGTAGTCCTTTCAAAATATCATTACTACTAACACTCACAGAGGCTCAGCAAAGGTGAGCATGTTGCTCAAGACGACACAGCCAGTCTAAGTAGCAGCCTTGGGTTTTAGTCCCTGGTTTGTCCAACCCCAGAGACCAGGCTCCTTCCAGGATACCTCTGCGACTTTTCAGAATAAGGCTGCTAGCCGAAAGGCTCTCGTGGGGAATGTCCAAGGTTTCTAAAGTTGTATGTGTAAACCCAGCCTCACCTTGATTTAACCTGGTCCAGGTACAGAGAGGTGTGGAAATAGATTTGTTTTGTAATCCACCAACAGAGAATGTCCCTCCCTGGAAAAATTTTTCCTCTGATGATTTAGACCTTGTCCTCTGGACCAACCTTCACATCTGTCTTAAAGAAAGGGTCTGAGTTTTTGCTTTTGTTTGGGGGAAGGGAGGCATGCCGTTCCCCAGCCTTGTTGCCCTTGGCTGAGAAGAACAAAAACCAGAAAAACTCAGGAGCCCAATCCCCAAATGACTGTGTCCCACCAGACCCCATCTAGGGACTCAAGTCATCTAACCTATTTATTCAGAAATTATGATGATTTCTTATTTCTGACTGTCCTTTTCCCTTTTCTCTGAGTTTAATCCTATCTTACTACTAGTTTTATGACCTTAAGCTAGTTGTTACCCTCTCTCTGAGCCTCAGTTTCCCCAGTTATGAAACAGGGTTGTTCCTTCTCTCATTCTGTCTGGGTTTATCTCCAGAAGACTGTTTAGCGAAAGGAGGGGTGAAGAACAGCAATGTAGCCCTGGGTTAAAGTCTTGGTGCCCCAATATGTCCTGGGCAAGTCATTAAAATATCCCTGTGCCTCAGTTTCTTCATCTGCAAGATGATCATAGTGTCTGCTTCGTAACCTTGACAAAAGGATTAAATGAGATAATACATGTAAAGTACTTAGCATAGTACCTCCTATAGTGAGTGTTATACTGGCATCTACTGAGTGTTAGCTGCTAAAACCAGGATAATTCTGGGCAAACCTGGACGACCAGTTATCCTGCAGAGGACCCAGATGTGCCAGGCAAGGACCCAGGAGCTGAGGGATGGCCAAGAGCCCCCGAGCCAGCTTGCCTCAGTGCTGGCATGCTGCGAGGAGACTGTTGAATCTCCTCCCCTCCACACCCCCCCCAGCCTCACGTCTCCTTGCTCTCCTTTAGATTGTTCCAGACCTTGGTTCACTTGTTGAAAGGCAACATGGGCACAGGGATCCTGGGACTGCCCCTGGCCGTGAAGAACGCTGGCATCCTGGTAAGAGGGGCCGCCGGTGGAGCCACCGTGACCAGTGGTGGAAAGGAGGCGGGAGGAGAGGCTTTGATGGTTTTTAGTAGCCTGCAACGAGCAGTCTTTCCAGGAGGCAGCTTGGTCCAGACTTGGAGTCTAGACATCTAGCCTAGGCTAGAGCTCTGTCTCTGGAGCAGACTTTAGTGGCCTTGACAAGTCGTCTGTCCACTCTCCAGGCCTCAGTTTCCTCCCTTGTAGAGGAAACTATGACCAGTTTCCCAGTTATGCTCTGCAGAGCCTTAGGTGGCCTTGGGGAAGCCTCAGAGGCCACATAGGACACGTGTGGTCGGGATTCTGGGTCCCCTACTCGCACCGCCATACCCCATTGTAATTGCTTTCTGTGTTTTGTTGGACTAATACTTGAGATCGTATTTGACAAACAGCTGCTGCTATTATAAAGGAGCTTGCAAACCAGTTTTCTAGAAAGTTATTTGAGTCCGTAATGAAATCTGCACTACCAAATTCCTCCTCGCAGTGCTCTTCATGAATCCCTTCTCCTCTCTCCTCCCTCGCCCTGCCCCCCTCCAGGTGGGCCCACTCAGCCTGCTGGTGATGGGCTTGGTCGCCTGCCACTGCATGCTCATCTTGGTCAGGTGTGCCCAGCGCTTCTGCCAGAGGTGAGGAAAACGGCGTCCTTGTGTCACTTCCTTTGGTACACGTCCTACACATAGCAAGAGTTTACTTCTTAATTTTCTCCAATAAGGCCAAGAAAGAGAGAAGAGCATGTAGGGATAGGGAGCTTGGTGATCTCAACCAGGCCATACTACGTATGTGGTTGGTTCATTTGTAAATTGGGCATAGACAATAATCCATGCCTAGCCCTGCCTCAGAGACTTGTCATGGGGATCCAGTGGGATCGTTGATGTGAAAACTTCTGTGCCCACGCCAGGCGCGTGGTATCACTCCTGCTATGTAGTAACCACCTCACTTGACAGGTAAGGAAAACAAGCCACCAAGGAATTGCTGCCAAGTGTCAAAGCCTGAACGAGAACTTACATCTCTGCCCCAGTGTTCTTTCCACTCTCTAGCTGTGTCCTGCCTTGCTCAGCATCTCTTAACTTTTCAGCATGTGATCTTAGGTTAAACTCTCTCTTGGCAACAGTCTACGCACTCTCTCCTGCAGGCTTAACAAGCCCTTTCTGGACTATGGGGATACGGTGATGCATGGACTAGAAGCCAGCCCCAGCACCTGGCTCCAGAACCACGCCCACTGGGGAAGGTAACTTGACCTTGCTTTCCTGCAGGGGGTGGGGTACAGGAGTAGAAGATGCTGCTGTCAGCGGTGCCGTCTTCCCTGGCAACATGGCTTACATGGCTCAGAAGGTCAGATGTTCCACATGGGAGGGTTCGTTGGCAACATCCCTGATCCAGCCCCACTCCTACTATTCCTCCAGTGACAGGGTGCTCATCCCTTTGCTGTGGGGCTTTAATATCATCCACTCTTTTATTTAACCACATTCATCCAGTTGCTGCTATGTGCCAGACCCTGGAAATACCATAAGGGAAAAGACAAATAGCAAGAACCTGTCCAGTGGGAAAGACAGACGTTAGATAGCTCAGGACACAGTTGTTTAATAACCACTGGGATAGATAAGGTGAAGGAGAGAAACTTGCCACGGGGCAGGTAAGGAGAAGTGTGTCCGCTGGGGGAGAAGGGGACTTCTAGATGGGACAGATGAGATGAGTCCTGAAGGAAGGAGTCCTGAAGAATGAGGAATTACCTGGGGACAGCAGATGGGTGCCTGGAGGGCCTTCCAGGAAGGAGGAAGGGCAGAGGTGGATGCCCTGAAGCAGGCAGTTTCAAGGAACAGAAAGGACAGGTAGCTTGAGGGCAGAGAGTGAGGGAGGGGGAAGTGAAGGAGCCAGGTGCCCTGTCAAGTTGTGTATTTTAGACCCTCTTAAAGGTTTTGTTCTTTTCTTAAAGGAAGCCACTGGAGGGTTTGAATCAGGGAGGTCATCCTAGTTGCATTATTTTGAGATCTATCTGTCTCCTGCGAGGAGAATAGATTTGATGGGAGCAGTAGTAGATGGAATCAGATCACAAAGAGTCTGTTGACAACATCCAGACAGGTGGCAGTGGGGATGAAGGGAAGTTGGCTTGGTTATCAATGGGATCCCAGGATCGAGAAAAGGAAAGAGTCAAGGTTGACTTAGATTTCTGACGACTTCTATTTTGGACAAGTTGGGTGCCCGAGTGACATTCAAGTGCAGATGTCCAGTGGGTGTGTATAGGTTTGGACCTAACTTCACACAGGAGAGCCAGAGTGGAAGTCGTCAGCCACGAAGCCATGGGCAGGAGAGGTCTCTTAGGGAGAGAGTATAGAGTGAGGGAAAAAGGAGAGGAAATGACCAAGACTTTCAGGACCATTTGTTGAGCTGAATGAAGTCTTCCTCCTTAAAAAATCTCACCTTTTATCTCTCAGAGATAACACAGAATGAGTCAATACCCTTTGCCCTCTGGTACTGGGGAATAACTCTACTCCTTTGACTTTATTTTCAGATCTATCCCCACCCCATCTGCCTCCTATTTTTGAGCACCATCTAGATTGTCAGAGTCTCTCCCAAACTGTGATATCCCAAACCACGTGTGCCCCTGACCACGGGAGGTCGTCTACATGGCATCGTGGGTCTGGCACCAACCTTACCCAAAGCCCATGCTTAATACAGTCAGCCTGGGAGCAGACTCAGAAGGCTATGGGTCCACTCTCAAAATCAAGAAAAAAAAGAAAATAATAATAATAATGATAATTAAAGAAGGCTATGGGACAATGACCAGAATTTTCCAGGTTTTGTGACTCAACATGAGACTTGCCTGCCATAGCCCCTCAAATCCTTCTACTCATAGTTGGGCAGATAAAGAAGCTTCTCCTATTCCATTTAGGGACCTCGTTCCACTAATTCTCACCTCTCCTACAATTGGAACTCCTTGACTATGGGCTCTTCCTCTTAGTCTTTAATGTGTTCGCCTATCTACATGTTAAAAAAAAATAAGTAAATAAAGCTTCCTCGACTTTACACCATTGTAGCCACTATCCTATCTTATATTCAATATATGCTATTCACCCAATATCTACTGAACACCTACAGTGTATCAGGAGGTGCTTTAGGCAATGAGTCTACAATGATGAACAAGACGGGCACCATCAAAATTGGAGCCCAAGGGCAATATACATAACCTTAACATTTGTTAAGGATATGCTGGGGAAGAAAACCTGGAGCCCACACTCTAGCTGCATGAAGGAACAGACCACTCTCTGATTTTACTTCTATGTGCCCTTCACCTCTTTCACAGGTCACCTGGCTTTACTATCCTTATAATTCTACTGAAGTTCTTTCTACCAATGTCCTAAGAGACCTCCTTGTTGCACCTTCCTTACTCCAGAGAACTTCTCAGCAGCAGTGGGTACAATTGACTGTTCTCTTCTTCAAACATTCTCACCCCACTTGGCTTCTATTAAACCTCTTTTCTCCAAGTTTCCCTCCTATCTTTCTGGCCATTCTTTTGCACTGGTTGTAGGCTTCTTTGTTTCTATTAAATATTGGCATTTAGAACATTGCTTTCTTCTCTTCTCACTCTGCACACTCTCCAACACTGATCTGCCTTTTTAAGGCTTTATCCATTACCTATCCATTACCAACTCAGCAGTTCCAGACCCTAGTACAGAGTTGTCTCCTGCAGGAACCCTAAGCTCAACAATTCAGATACTGAATGTGTCATTTCTTCCCCTTCTCCTAAAACGGTTCCTCCTTCCAAGTTTCCCGGTTCATTTTGTTGTCCAAGCCAAAAGCCTATAAATCACCTTTGATCATTTCCTTTTCCTTTCTCTTCTAGATGTGATCACCAAGTTCTATAAGTTCTAGGTCCCTGGTATCTCTTAAAATGTTTCAATGCTGTCATGCTAAGGACTGTGTCTTTGTCCAGGCTGCTGCCATCTTTCACCTCCATTATTGACAGAATCTCCTACCCATTCTCCCACCCTCAGTCTTGCCCCTGCCATGGACTCTCTACCCGACCGCTGGAGAAATCTGCCTGCTCCCTTGCTGAGAGGCTCTTTTCTTACTTCTTCCCCTCCTCCTCCTCCCCCTCTTTCTTCTTCTTCATCCACTTTTTTTTTCTCAGTCTTTCTTCCTTTTCCCAAGGGACTCTCACTCAGGTATTAGTTTTTCTAGGAAGGCTTTCTGTCTGCCCATAATTTGGATAAAATGCCCTTTACCGAAGCCCTAATGCCATATTATAATGATTTTTGTCCATCTCACCCTTTAGTGTACAAACCACTAGAGGAAGGGACCATGTGTCATTTGTCTGTGTCTCAGTCCCTAACAGAGTGGTTGGCACATGGGAGAAAATAAATATTTAGCACTAGTGATAGCTAATAAAAACATTGTGTCTTACATTAATTAATGTTGATTATGAGGAATTCTGCAGAGCCAAGTGTGGGGGAAGGATCCTGACCATGAAGAATTTTATCACTCGCAGAGCCGAGTATGTGAGGCTAGTTGAAAACGCTTGATAAAAAAGAACTATTGTTACCTTACTTCTTTGCCCCATCGTTGATTGTGGTGGAAGGACTGAGGGGGCTGGTCCAGGGCCACCAACCCCTGAGGACAGAGGGCAGAATGGCAAGAAATGGACCACAAGTTGGCTTCTTTTATAACAAGTTTTCTCTCTCTCTCTCTCTCTCCCCCCTCCCTCTTCCAGGCGTATCGTGAGCTTCTTCCTTATTGTCACCCAGCTGGGCTTCTGCTGTGTGTATATTGTGTTTCTGGCCGATAATTTAAAACAGGTAGAGTCTTCTAGAGAATATGGGATGGAAAAAGATGTGGACAACAGGCTCCTCTGCTAGTTGTTTGTTTAACAATTCGCTTCTTCTCTCTGAGTTCTCAATTAACCAACAAAAGAAGTTAAACTAGATGTTATCAAAGTGGCCTTCCCCTGTTCACATATTTGCAGATTTCTGTGTGGTTACTTTTGCCACGATACCCTTTGTCACGTATCTTGGACTTATTCTCAAGGTTAGTCCCTACAGTCGTAAACTGGAAAGATCCTTGCATTTTGTCAATCCTCCTGCCTTGGAGTTCAATCATACTTAATGTTTCTAAAATGGATATGAGTGTTTCGTGATGATTCCCGGCCTTCCCTGGGTCATCTGTTTCTACCTGTAGCTACTACTCTGTGGCGTAACAGTCGTCATCCCCAGGAAATCTTCCTGATCTAAACTTGACATTATTTTGCAACACTTTGAGCAAAATAATATGGCTAATAACGAGGCCTTCCTTAAGCAGTAAGCTTTAAAAATAAAACTATTTTTAGGGTTTTTTTTTCTGCTTATAGCAGCAATCCCAGAAAATCAGAAATGTAAAAAGGTTAGAAAGAAGAAAAACATAGTAAGAATTCAGAGTTAGCTTCTATAATGTCAGGCACAGTGCTGAGCATTTTACATGCTTTCCCTCACTTAATCTCTCCAT